TGCATTTTATTTATTTAAAACTATCTAAACCCGTACAATTAATAATCCGTTTAAAATCCTACATTTTATATCCCTCRRACTGTTTTTTAAATTCGTTGGCTATTCGATTATAGCTATTCGATATAATGCCTCAAACTGTTTTTTTAAATTCATTTTCTGTGGTTATGCTAGCAGTATATTTTTATCCCAACAAAAATTCTTTGTCAAACTACATATAAAAATTGCTAAGCACTCATAAAAAAAACTTTGTTAATTTGTACGAATTATAAGCACACAGTAAAGTTGTGATTTCATAAAAAATGCTAAATAAGATAAATTTTTAATAAATTTATTATAATATCTCGATAATTTATATACTTGGTGAGAACTTATTTTGGTAATTTAAATTCACTTATAGAAAATCATAACGGAGTCTTATTCCTAAATATAAAATAATAGAGCGGACATGCTTATTTGTCTAAATAAGTTCTCATATTGTATGTCCGTCTCCTGATTCTAAGCTACCTCCCCATTAATTTTCAGACAAATCAGTTCAATCGTACTTAAGTTATAAATAGTGTAACTAACACAACTTTCTTTTATCGTTTAATGCTTATTGCATACTACTAAGTGATAAAAAAAATTGTAATTAAAAAATATTTATTAATTTATGCAATGAAATAAATTATCAAAATATTAAGTATGTCTTATCTCGCCATAAAAAGTAATATATTATGATGATTTATAATATATATATTATAAATATTATAAAAGTGCATGAAAATAAGAAAAAAAAATGCAATAAAAACTATATTTAATGATTGTACACATATCTTCAAAAAATTTTGATTATGTAATGATCAACTATGAATATTGGTCAGAAGATTAGAAAATTCTGTTTTTTTATGAAGTAGATATCGCCCATTTTATACCACAATAACACAAAGGTAATGACTAATGAGCTATTTTGTTGAATTTACTATTCACTTTCATAATATTATAGGCAACGAAACCATCCAAGTAATAAACTTTAACGTGCCCACACCCGAATCCGCTGCCAAGAATTTACATCCTCCTTACATTCCGGTCGTATTGCCTGAGGACTTAGCTGAACGAATAAACGTCTTGCACGGCGATCCCGCTGTATGGTGGATAGGACAGTTCTTTAAATACATCTTCCGGCTACAACCATCCACTACCAAAGTATTTGACGAATTTGCCAAGCGAGTGCATTTCAAAAAACCAATTGTCGGGTAAACATTTTTATATTGCATAACCATGATATTACAATATGTATAGAAACATTAAATTAAAACCAATATTTACATAATATTACTGTATTTTCATAAAATTTTATCTTAGATAAGACCGATCACAGTTAAGTGTAAATTCTATATATTATTATAAATAAATTAGAACGTCGTTACACCAGAATCCTGAGATGATTTGAGTACACAGCTGTTTATGAAGTACACTCAATTTTCAATTTTCAATAAGTACCTATTGTAATCACTCATAAATGAAAATCTTAGTTGAAATTATTCAGCAAACAGTTCTTTTTATAACACTAATTAAAATTAACTACTGTTAGCCGGGCATAAAATAGGTCTATGTATTTTGCGAAAAAATGTTATGTGATTCATCTA